TTAAACCAGTAACCACTTACTCATAATGGACATTCAGAGGAAGGTAAATTACTACCTTGTAAGAAAAAGAGAAGATTATGAGCTTCATTTCACTACTGCAAAGATATTCAATGCCTGGTAGGGAAGAGAGCACAGAGCAGCTAAGCATAGTTAATCACGATTCAAAAAGGAAAGTAGAGAACTCCAATATTCTCCCTTCTCTTCTATTCACTGGGGAAAAAAGAGCACTAATCCACCACTAAATGCAGAATCAAGAAATCTGATTCCCTTTTCCCTCCCCTTCTCCCTCCCTTCCCCCAGCTCCAAAAGCAGAATATGCATAGGAGGACTTGCCGTACTGAGTGTAGCACCTGTGTAATTACAAATTACAACTCTGCTATCCACTGTACTAAATAGAGATACTTCCCACTTAATTAAACCCTTTCTTAGAGAGGAAATGCATGCACATTCATGCTATCTCCACTTCTTATCTGGTCTCAGACACTGCAGGAAGCTAGGCCCCAAGATTTGTCAGCAAGCCAGCCCACAGATGTTTCCACAAGAAACCCAGGTCAGCATTAACAGGTTCATTCTCTGGCTCTAGAGGACAGGTCAGCAGATCAGCGCCTGCTGCCTGCACCTGGCAGGCTCCACTGAGTGAAAACAGTCCTTAAGCATTGGCCTGAATTCCTGTCAGATATGCACTTCTCTTTCCAGGCCCGGGCAGCAAGCACACAAACAGCTAGAGCAGCTTAATGCACTCTCATCAGTGAAGCCAACTGAATCTGCCCTTGCAAACTGAAGGACAACTACAGGTACTCTCCAAACCCACGCTTCATTAAACTCAAGAGTCTCTCCAGGTCAGCCTTACAGCAAAGGCACCAGTGACCGAAATCTACCTTCCAATATAACCGCAATTAGATGGGATTCAAGAATGTCGAAGACCATGACTGAAGCCTCTGAGCAACACAGCACTGTCCAAGCACACTGCTCTTTCTGATACATCAGCCTCATATTTAACTTCCATACTGTATTCCATGGCCCTTCACAAAAAGACATCTGATCTCCCTAGTGCTTGTGATGGGCATGGAAAACGCAAATATGATTCTGAAGACACGAACAAAATCTTTGGCTTTATCTTCCACAAATCTGTATGACCTTTCTGCAAATCTCCAGTCTTTCAAGATTTGCAATCTTCTGCCACTTAGGCATAAATACAAATTCATCATTAAAACCTTGTCAGCTGCTATCAATGACTATCAATATCTTCAGTATCTGACTTACTACCTACCTCATCTTTAAAACATACCAGATACACCCTGGAGTACAGAATGATGCAAAATGATGTGTATCTGTTTATGGATACCAAAGTCACCTGGCTAATTTATTAGAGGACAAAAGCAATACCAGTCAAACAGAAAAGCAGCAGCAAAAAAACTTACTTAGATGAAAAGCTCACAGAATAAGACCCCTCTTTTTTGGTTATCTTCTACACTACGCAGAAGGGAAAGTCAAGCAGGAACAGTGCTGCTCTGGAGGATGCAATTCCGAGGCTTGGGGTGGAGGGAAAAGAACCAGGCTTTGAAGAACTATTCAACAAGACTAAAAGAAGAATGTGTGGTGTAAATATGAAGTTTACAGTGTGGTTTGAAAAACACTCTACTCTGTTATATATTAGAGAAATATGCACAAACCTTTTGAGCACCAAGTTACCACCCAAAGTACTGGACAAGGAGACAGCAATTGCATGTATGTAGCATTGACAGCAACAACGAACAACATTCCTTACACTCACCGACCCTTCTTGAGAGCCCAGCTGATGGTTTTGCATCAGGCTGAGCCTGCCAGACTGGAGCAGAAATACAGTTTTCTCCAGCAGCAGGAGAAAGGACACCACCTCGTGTTAAATAAAGCACCTGCCTCTTCTCACACACAGTACTTTTCTGTTAAGATACATGTTGTTTAATGGCAGTCAAGAAACTACTCAGGAAATATCTCTAAGCTAATAGTGCAACTCTGAAAAACACAGCTAAGTCTGTCGGGGTTCTTCAGTGAAGATGGTCAACAACTCCATTACGCAAATACCAGATCTTTGAAGAAATACAAGCTACATCAGCACATTCTGGAGAGACAGAGTACAAGCAGCTTATCTTCTCAACACAACTCTTTCTTAATGACAAAGACCTACAATATTCATACATGAATATCCTTCTTAAAGGAAGTAAACCCCAAAATAAGGAAGACTTTCTACTTGCAAAGCAAGAATTTAAAAATTCAGCATTTTTTCCTTTCACAGTTGAAATCAAATCCTACAGCAG